GATTTCGCGGCCACGCCGTCACCATGCCGTCTCCCCGGCGTTTCTCCAGTGGAGTCGTCGGTTTGGTGTGCAGAATCCATATCAGGTAGAACTGATTCACATGTGCGCGCCCCACAAGAAGAGGTTGTTTAATCCACATGATGTTCGTTTGGTATAACCTTAGAGTCTACATCCCAGGGCCATGCTCCCATGGGTTGACATCGAATCAGGATTCACACCAAGGGTTCGCAGGGCGGTTGGGCGGTTTCAAAAGTGCAGCTGACGGGGAGTCACAGAAAAAGCTCAGCAAGTTTTTGTCAGGACGTCAGACTCCAACCCTCCCGAGCCGGAGTGCTGGTAAGAGAAACTTAGTACAATGTCCAGTCCCAGAAAAGATATGAACATCTTACGTGATAATGTCCAGTCCCCTAGTGTAGAGACCAACGAGTAACACGTTTGTTTGCGGATATATGATTGAACATGGCCAATACCGTGGCCATGATGTCAGTTCGGTGTCAGTCCGCTCGACCCAAGAGACGCTCCGAGGTCGAGGAGATCAGCCTACCGAGCTTCTGGTTGGAGTCCGGGCCCCCGAAGGAGCGGGAGACAGATCCACAGAGATCTCCAAAAAACGAGATTTGTTGGTGGCTGTCACAGTGGCATAGCAAGAATGGTGATTTGGATGACCGTCGTAAACCAAACATCAAAAACATTTTTTGGGGGGGTGATTTCAAGATGTTCTACAGATTCGGGGGATACAAATAGATGTGGGGCAAAAGGTAATTCTTTTCATAGGGTCAACAGTTTTGACTCACAGTTACTCAAGCCCATACCCCTAAGCATGAGCTATTTCATCTTGGAAAGAAGGTGAATTAAATGTTCATAAGATTTTATGAGTGTTTTCTGGCTTGATTTGACCATTTACAAAAGAATCTGATGTTGACCAAGCAAACCTTTTGAACATCGAAAAACACCCAGTTGTTCGACGTCGCTCAACACGTCTCATTCGCTCGGGTGCGACGGCCCTGTGGGCGGTCGTCGCTTTCAGGCGACCCGTGGAGGGCTTGGTGGTCTACTTGAGGTGTGTGGGCGGTGCGGTGAGTCGGTGAGTCCAAAGTGAGACATCAGACAGACAAGGATAGAGAAAAGGGGACCCGATGCATGGGTTCCCCATGACAGAGATCCCATGAGTAAATGGAAGCCGGTGACCCGATGGGTCCGACCGTGGGGGTGATGCGCCACCGCGTTTCTCGGTTCTCCACCAGCGCCACTCACTGCACGAGCGTTTCTGCGCAGGCAAAGCGGAAGCTCAGCCAGTAGTACAGAGGTGCCCGCCTGCGACAGCCCCTAGTTGCCGCTCCAAGGGATGGGTTGTTTGCTGGTTGCCGTTCCGGGCTTGGTTGGTCCACTGAGCGGGTTGACAGGGTCTACACGGTCGGCAGGTTCGTCATGTTTATGAGAATTCTTTCCATTTGGTACCTGGCCTGTCGAAATCGTTGGGCTGTCCAAAACCTACAAAGTGACCCCTTTCTGAAGAAGGGGCAGGTCCAGTCCTCGGTCCTCGAGTTGAGTTTGAGAGCACCGTGGCAGGTAAACATTCTTCGCTCGGATGGCTATGATCAGTGGCACCCGGATGTGTCTTGTTTGAGAGGGAGATGCGGGGCCGGCAAAGAGCCTGTACAACTCCTTGGCCAGCTTGGTGCGCGATGTTTTTTCTTTTTCTCTATCTCCCTCCCCCCCCTCCCCATCTCTCTGTGTTTTGCAATTGTATTGGAGGGGACAACAAAGGGCTCTCACATGGAAGTAAAACATATGTGGCAGTTACAATAGTTGGCATAACAAACAATGACAGATAAGACCAGCTTTTTTGTGGCAGATTAGCACGAGTCAAGCTCTTGTTGCCGATGTTCTTCTTTGATATGAAATTGTAAGTCATTTATCACCTGCACGATGCTACAAGTTTGTGGAAACTCTGTGTCAGATTACTAGAATGAATATTCTGTATTAATACATATAGAATATTGCTTTATGATATATCATGCGACCTAAGTACGACAACCTTGTGATTCTCAATGATACCCACAATGGAAGGATCTTGGAGTAGTTGAGTTGGCATGGCTCACCTCCCTATTCAGTAGATGTGGGGAATTGGCCCCGTTGAGAGCATCTTGCAGCCTTCACTTAAACTGTCCGACCAGTGACATGTCGCAGGGTGACCTATTTCGCTACGAGTCAATGCGTGTTTCTCATTTCATCATGAACTTGGATTTTGCACCCTGTACTTGTTCACTGGAAGTGGAAATCCGAAGCTTGTCCGCAGCCCGTGCCCCAGACAGCATCATTCCCGAGACTGGGATGTCTCGAAAGTAACAGGTCTTCAATGTGAAGCAACACTGATTCTAGATGTTCTAGATGACCACCCCCTAAAAATGGAGGGCAATCTTTAATTAGGGACAAAACCCTCCCATTCATGTTCATGGGATGCCCAGACCACCGGTATCGAGCCCAAAGGCCGAGCAGCCATTAGCTGCCGGACGCGCCAGGGGCGCTCAGCCGTTAGGGTGTGACCGAAAGCCTTAGGAATTGAGGAGAGACTGTCAATTACCTGGATCTTCCCAGTGACCGAACTTGATCCCTTAGTTTGGAGGCCATTGCCAGTAATTTGGTTGGAGGCCATTGCTAGTTGCTAGTAGATTGGAGACCATTGCTATTGGTTTAGAGTAAAAGATCACAAACAGGGACTCCAAAGTTCAGTCACTGGAAAGGTCCCTCGTACGGGTCTCCAATTTCGGACCCCCCTGTTGCCTCTTACAGTATCTTCGCATGCCCATCCGGACGGGTCAACAAGGCCCTCCCAAAATGTTCCACACCCAGTACCATCTAGTACCGAGTCAGCATTTAACAGGTGCGGGTCTGAAAAAAGATGAAGAAACACGACATATGTTTCAACATAAATATTTGCAACATATCTTTAAAGGCGCTCACACCCGAGGTCCCTGCTTGCTTTGGAAATTCCAGCCTTCCCCCCCGGCTCGGGCGTTTCTCAGGTGGGACAGCTTCGGGGCCCGGCCGCCATTTGCGTGGACGCGGTGCTGGAGACGAACCTGGGCGGTGAAACCATGAAGGAGGTCGAGCCTCAATGGTGTGTCCGAGCGACCAAAGTTCCGGCTTGGAGCCACAGAGACCTGCAGCAGAAACGCGTGGCGAAGCGTACGTTCTGCGGACGTTCTGCGACATGTGAGACGCCGTTGCGCCGGCCGAAGCAGCTGCGGTTTAAGAGTGATCGAAAGTTTTGACAGCCGTGCACCAACAAATCAGAAAAGAACTAACTTTGGGTTAAAACGGGCCAAAACAAACCCACCAAAAGGTAGTTGGTTTTACATGTTTTACTGTGCTACCCTGTATAATTAGGGCCTGAGGGTCGAATTCAAAACTGAGTGACCCTGAAAAAATCCACCCGAATGATGGAATGTAGAGTGGATAGACATATGATGTGTAATGTACAAAGAGCGTTGGAAGCACTTGTAACGTGTTCATTGGTTTTTGAGGAAATATTCATTGGTGCGACGGTGCGACAAAGACTGATGACTCCTGAGATCTCACGGCTTTTGCGTTTTCGCCGGCGACAACATGGAGTCCACATGTGGATGGTGACATGTGGGTATTCCCAGCTTGTAGAAGATCCTAAGGTGAGTTTCGAGACTGGTTGCACGTGGCAGCCTTGCATGGAATGGGGCTTTTCGAACATTGGTTGCCCTCAAGTGACCTGTTCTGTCAAGCCTTGTCACTGACCCAGAAGGGCTGTTTGGGACACAACGTTGTTGTTCTATGCTGCCAATGCAGGTGCAATGCTGATGTCCGGCGGTTTTCCCGGTCAAACCATACCAAACCAGCGGGCGTTCGGCCAAACCGAGAGCGACCTCGGCCCCACCACTTGATCGGGTGCCACCGCGCGGTCCCGCGGCCTCGCCCCGGCTCCGCAGTTCGGGGAGCGTTCGCGGGCCCTGGTGGCCACGGCGAAGATCGAGGGGGAAGCCTTGGAAAAAGCGCTGGCCTGGGATCTCAGAAGAAGATTAAGGAAGCATCAAGTCATCAAGTCACGTGTGTCGCTGGCGTGGGTCCTGAAGAAGCTGACCACCGTCTGTCTAAAAAGTCCGGTGCTGTTTCGGGGAGGAAGAAAAGACATATATACGGCTGGCCGATTCCCGATTCCTCGTGTCCCATGTGGGGATGTACATGACACCCGAGTCAACTCACATGGACCCTGAGTACACCACGTCGGTTGGTGGAAAACCATCAGACCCAGGTGACCAGGACGTCAGGGTCTAAGTTTTCGGGAGTGTACATGATGTACAGTGAAAACATGTACTTGTCCAAAAGGACGCGGAGCTGGTCCACAGACAAGCCCAGCACAAATGTGTCTTCGGATCCAGTTGCAAAGCGACTGAAAGTAAACCATATATTAGACATGTGCCTATACCTGGACCTCAGAAATACAAGGACAACCTAATTCGTCATAATTCATGAATCACTTCCATCGATCATCACCCTCCCCTCAGGTAATTATTTATACAGCCATTATGCCAAGCATCAGATCGATATTTCAATCATGCCGCTGATCAGTTCGGTTCAGGGTCCTAGGGTCCTAGGGTCCTAGAGTCTGACTTGAGGTCGAGTGAGTTCCCACCCACTTTCCCTGGAAACACAGTGACGGGTGGATCGGTCATAGATGGGATCGGATTGCCGAGCAACATCACCAAAAGGAATCGGGATGCAAGCATCCGTGCGCATATGATTGCATCACACAAAGGATGTACAAAGACAATTTGTCTCGATGTGTCTCAACTTTTCCAACCCATATTCCATATTATCATAACTATTACATAATTAACCCAGTCTCAGAACCGACCTTGTGTCTCATCCTTTTATAGTTACAACATTTATGTCCTATGTAATATATATTAAACCAACATATAATTGAAACAACAGCAGCAGCAACAACAACAACAACAACCATTGCAGTTTCTGACCAACACCATTCAACCTGCTGCTTCACACACCGTTGAGGGTCTTCACCTTCGATGAATCACAGATCAGTATTTGAGGTGTGGTTTCCCGCGTGCAAACATAACGATTCGATTTAAAGGGTTTGCACTAAGTCTATGACACTTGTCCCCCAGCACCACAGAAGCATTCTTTATCTCTCACTGAGATGTGCACAGCCGCTGTGTCTTTGAAATTGGAGGTGGGGGCGTGGCGGAGCGCCGCGGAGCGCGGGTGGATGTGGCCATACTGAAGAGTGGGACCTGGGTGCTTTGATGCGAAAGAAAGAGGTCCTTCGATCAGCTTGGTTCATTTTGATCACCTCAATTACCAGAAGTCCAGAACTGATATCCCAACAATCAGTTTGTTGTGGGTGAAACTCCATCTGCAAGATTTTCCAATGTAATGAAACTCATGAAAAAACACACGCATGCAGACCAGATAGAATCTGTACAGGAAGTCCCTTGGCAAAGGGGAGACGGAGGAGTCGGCCTGGTCCATCAGGGCGTTCAAAAAGTTGTACGTATATATACTTATCTGAACTCGAGTGGGGCTTGCCGAGCTCTTTTGTTCTTTCACACACACGCGCGGGGCATTCATGATCTCATTCTAGCATGTAAGATCTGGACATGTTTGCAAGCAAGAAGCTCTCCGATCCGCTCGAGGGGATTCGAGTCCCGTCTCCACCGATCTGGATTCCTCTCAGTTGCAATCTGCCAAAGCCTCCTCGCTCAACGGTCCAGCGGGCACTCCGCCAAAAGCTCAGAAGGGCCGCTTTGGTGGGGGCGTCAGGTGAGGCCGTCGCCCATCGGCGGGTCGCTCATGTTGTTTCAGACTCTCCAGGTGACCTGTTAATACTTATTTTCTGCTTCGCTGTTGATACGCTTGGATGTTCTAGCGGTTCTTAGATTGAGATGACTGAGGATGCCTAGACTGTCAACCGATGGCCCCACGGTTTTGGCACCCAACTATATATATATATATATTAAGTTTGATTGATTGTTGTCAGTAAGTAGGAAGTCCCCCAAAGTCCTTAGTGAGGCAAACACATCCAACCCTGACTTCACCAACAAAGATGGCTGCTCAGCAACGCAATGATCACTGGATACTTAATGTTGTATATGATACTGACGGCACGGTCAAGCCTTCCGGCCGAAGCTGACACCGAAAGCATGGCATTATGGTCTAATAGCTTTTCTCTGGAATAGAACTCCAAAGAAAAAGATGGCAAAGCACATCGAATGCTGTAGTGATTGGATTTGTATAGAACCAATCATTGTAGCTGCCGATGTTTGTTTTGCCACTTGTTCCTTTGGAGCTTAAGACTCCAGGCAGGGCACACCCATCTCATCAGCTTTTCTCATCCGGCATCAATGCAATGATGGTCCGACAAAGCAGCGGTACTCAGAGCTCGTTGCCCAACCATGCAAGAGTTCTACGACCAGGTCAGCTTGGTTTGGTCCCCACTCATTTGAAGGCCAAGCTTTCCTCCATTCAATGGGTGTGTTGATTGATTCCCTTCTTATTGACTCCAGTGGAAATCACAGGAACATGGAAACTCGGACCCTAGAGTGGGCTCAATTCCACTGATTTGCGAACGCACAGATCACTTCGTCTTTGGTGTTTGTTAAGCCCATCCTGCATTGCATCGCTTTCTTCTCTTTGCAAGGACCACTTATATCATGCTTTCATTTTGGAAGCTGAAAAAAGAATAATCAAAAAACACTGTTTTTTCGACCTCCAACCAACGCAATGTCGATGTTTCACATGATGTGATTCCCCATCATTTTTCACCATTTTCATTCAACCTCTTCGTGCTTCTCATCCAACCTGCTTCTCTCACTCTTCCATCGCCATCGGACACCGAGCCGCACCCTCTCATCGACCGAGCTCTTCGGGGCCGCACCTGCACGAGGATTGGACGTCTGGCCGTGTCGCTGGGCGCCGCACTGGATCCGAAGATCCTGCCGGTGCGGCACACGGCACACGCGGCACACGCGGGCGGGTGAAGATGGAGGAACGCACTTGGGTGGGTTTCGGGCTTGGTTCAGGCTGGTTGCTAAGATACTTGCTTGCTTCAGGTTGGGTTTCAGCTTGGTTCGTGTCAGCTTGTTTCGATGTTGCAGGTTGAACAGAGATGCACAGCTTCGCGAGCAAAACGGGTCAAGGTCTGACGACTTCCAACCTCCAAGCCGCCGGTGTGACCTTTCCACGTTTGCGCGCTAGAAACCTAGGAGTGATCACTGCGCCCATGAGCCCACCATGTCGTTTGGGAAGTTTTCTTCCTTCGCAACTCAGGGAGGGTAGTGACCAACGGGCACAGCTATAGCATGCTGGTTCCGGAAGACGGTGCTACAGGGTTGACGTTTAGGGTCTTCCATGGTCTTCCATGATGCGATATGAATGGTAAGACCTGGCACACCGTTGGAGAAATGAAAAACCTCAGATTCCTTCGTCACGCAGCGGCAGGCTTGCTTTATGCCAAGCGGTGAAGTCTCTGCATGGTTCTCAGCAGCAGATGTTTCTCTCACATCTTGTGTTCGCCTGAAAATGGGTAGGACCATTCGGGATATTGAGGTTCAGTCCAGTCATTTTAGTCTTGGTTGTGACGTGTTGTGACCCTTGTCTCAGACTCCCAAGAAGGGGAACATTTACTGTAAGCCTTAGTACGACATACATAAAGCCTTGTTGTGTTCTATTCTGTCCGAGGTGAGTCCAGGGTGTTCGGAGGGCTGATTCTCTCCAAGATGGTTCGATTTGGTTTGGCCTGACTTCAATTGCCTTGAAATCGGATGTGTTTTTTTGCATTGCCTGAGTACTGCGAGAGTACAAGATTGTGGGAACACATGTCAAATAGATTGTGCACAATTCTACAATGATTGTATAATTTAGATAGATATAATATTATGTATAACTAGATATGATTGCAGATATATGTTTTGTTTTTTGGTGGCCTTACTTTCAGCTGCCCTTGGGGTTGCAACTATTGAATTAATCATGATTGGAGTTTAGACGGCTTGAGATGGTGTGGTAAGTAGCATAGTAGCATAGTACGTGGTAAGAACCACATATGTTCAACTAGCTCCACAGAATGATGAGGTACTTGACTCTACTATGTTCTTGTGTTTTGCCTTGCACTCTTGAAATGAAATCTTCCTAATTCTGGCAGATATTTTGGAGATGCCCTCCACAAGCTACTATCCAACATCAGTTTTGTACATTATGATAAAGAACATCTTCATCATGTACTATATCCACTTGCTTGGCAACCCTGAGATAGCAGGCTTGTTGATGTATATACCATGTATATATATAATACATTGTTATTTTTATACTTGATCATCTAGAGCAATGACTAACATTCTGAAGATATATTGATATTGCATGGTCCCCTTATGTACACCCTTGGCCACTCTCGCCATAGTCTTTTGTCCCGTATTGTTGCGTTCCTGTCTATGTATATTGTGATTCCGGCAAGTAAACATCAACCAATTCAATCACTTGCTGACCGATACTTCGTATGAGCGCTTCCGTCCTTTCCTCGGAATTTTCCACGAACTTGGGGCGAAGCTGAAATAATGCTCGTTTGACCTGCGAAAGGCCATGGGTTCTCACTATCTTTTAGGACTCCCGGACGATTGTTCGCCTTGTTGGCGAATCCTGTCAGTAGCTCGGTGTTGAGTCTTGCATAGGTGTAGACCATTGGGTCAGCTTATGATCAGCCAAGTCCGGACGTACCAGAGCGAGTGCGATGAATTCGACTGCTTCTTCTCAGGCAGAGAGCGGAGCTGATGAATGCATCGTAGCCCAGTCTGCTGGCTTAGATAAGAGTGAGGAATGCTTTTGGTGCCGAAAGGGGTTCTTTGAGGCCTGGGTGCCTTTTGTTGTTTCGTGAGTTTAGGACCTTGGGTTGGCCACAGACTTTATGGACAGAGAAAACCCCGAATGACGAAGTAAGAAGAGAACCAGCATTGGGACCTGAAAGTCTGAAACGGACATGTTTGATCATTTTTGTGAGAAGGAAAACTCTTATATGGAACGGTTCTTTATGTTTTATACAGTATACACATCATGCATATTTGTCTACAGAATAGTTTCAGGTTCTCAATGAATTTGGGGTGGATGATTCACATTTGACATTGAGAGGCCCCTATTTGACACGATCTTTCTCACAAATAACTCATCGTTTTTTTCTTTGTCAACCTATCATCTCAAGGTCTTGGCTCGCGATATGTTGTTGGTACCGGTGCCACGGCGTTTATCAGAAAACGCTGGGTGTGTTGGACGTAATTGTGCGTGTTGCTTTTTTCAGATAACTGGTCATGGAACATAGGACAACATGGTATCTTCCGGCCAACAAGGCAACATCCGAAGCCATTCTGCGAGGTTGGGGCCTGCGAAGGGTGTGCCTGTGGCCAAGACACTGGAGGACATCAGTCGGACGCAGCAATTGTTTGCCAGCTGAATCGGCCAAGATGCCGATGATGTGACTTCAGACCCCATCCGTGGGCGTTTTTTCCTTCAAAGCGAGCTCAAGCGGGTTGGTCAACCAAACGTCATGTCAACTGTCAACTTGGAAACATCCAGCAATCTCCAGCCGGAACGTCATTGTGTTTTTGTACTATTCAGTGTAAACAAATTGGATGACAAGAATATCATCAACCTTCAGGTCCGTCCAGATGAGGTGTTCTGATCCCTTGCGCTCGAGATCAGCTGGAATGTCTTTGGCCTCAATTCCTGTTTTGGGTCCCGGGTAAAGTGTGACAAAGTGCATCTGACCCAATTGAAGCATTGATTCATCGATGTTTAAGCAAAATAATTCTATAAATAAATATATATATATATTATACTAGATATAGTATGTTATATTATTCATCTATTGTTTTTTATGTTTTAATATGGCTGTGGGTCAAAACCGGGACTCCCTGATTGACCACCAAGAATGATTAGAATAATCTACTTGGGAGGTGAACCTATCGTGGTTTGGGGTTGCGGGTTTTGACCTACAACTATATTCCTTTCTGCTAAGCAGATTTTTGACGAGCGGATATAAACGATGTTTGCCATGGTCTTGTTCTTAAGTCTTATTTGAGTTGCAGGGTAGGGCGTTTATGGAAGCGCACACCCTGGCGTTGGCTGGTGGAGGGATCCTGGTTGGGTGGTATTTGAGCCGAGAGCCACCAAGGGAGCCCGCCCCCTGCCACTGCCAGTGCGGCTGCAATTTCCCCGAAGGGCGACAAGATCAATCGAGGTTTTGGGCTGGAGGAGTAGCGATCATTTTGTTTTTGCTGGCTTTGACCCTGGTGCTAGTGCTGCGGATCACGGTCAGACAGAACGATAGAGGTGAACACGAGGTCACTTTATCAGTCAAGGGAAAATCAGGAAAAGGTTGGTACCTCCGCACGGACTTCAAATTCTTGATCAATGAGCATTGGTATTGGTGAGCTTTGTTTTGTCCAGTGCAATGGATATCAAGGTGTGTTCCATACACGATTGGCAACAGCTCACATTGAGGGAGATGAATGGCTCATAGCCACTCCTGACATGGACTTGTACCCGGAAGAGCTCAACGCCAGAAATGCTGATGATTCATAGTTCTTTCATAGCACTACAGGGGCAATCCCAAGAGGGGTGCCGAGAGGATCAATTTACTGTATGCATTTTAGCCCATAGCCGCACAAGACTATGCCAGGATCATGGCACAGGGGCAACGAGCTGCCGAAGCTGAGAAGCTGAGGAGGGGTCTTGGCGCAGCAGCTCCAGCAGGAGGAGGTGCACTCCAGCTGCCGCCGCTGGAGGTGCAGCTCCAGTTGTGGGCGGCGGAGATGATGGTGATGATGTAGAAGTGTGGGTATTGGTTGAGCATGTTGATGGGCACAAGGTTTGAGAGGAGCTCACATTGGCCGCAGGGAGCCCTTAAGAAGGGAATCATGCTTTGGTACACGTGATGGAACAGATTTCATCGTGAGGGCCCAGAGATGCAACCATGCTGTGTGAAACAGGTCATCCAAGGCGCCAGGTCTATGGAGGCCAAGCTGGGTGATGATCCCCTTGGTCAGTGATGACGTGAGGACTTTTTCAATCAAATATGGGCCCAATGGTGAAAGATCCCGGGGATTTGTGAATCCATTCAACATGAGGCAGGTGGAGATGAAGGAGTTCCCCTTGTCGCCAAGGATTTGCTTGGAATACCTACGTGCAATTCTGCAATTTCAGAGAGTTGTTACGGGCAGCACTTGTCATGGGTGCAGAATGCCCGCATCCCTGAAGGAGACCGAGTTGTCTTTGAAGACGAAGTGTTGAGCAAGGTGCTGGATGTAGTAATCAAGTTCGACGGGTTCAATGTATGCAATATAGTCTGGCATTCGAGATGATCGTGCGCAGAAAACAACTATTGTGTGAGGCCCACGTCGGGAACCCTGCACAGCCCAGCTACGAAGCCTCTGATTATTTCATGGGTATTCGATACAGACCTGGAGGAGGCATCGCCATCCCCAGCCTGACGGAGCATGTTGCCAAGAGACTGCATGAGGAGGGCCAGGTCCTGAAGGAGAAGCGCAAAATGAGAGAGGCAAAAAGGATCTGGCAAGAACAAAGGCAAGACAGATCATCCCCC